ATGGTAGAGGGAGAGGGAAGGGTGAAGATCACCCCCTGTTCAGAATGGTAGCTACTCAAGAATTTTTTTGAATAAATGAAAAAAAGTTTAAATATCATGTTCCTTATAATATAATTTTTAAATTGTTAACATTTTCTAGTAGTTCAAATCAACACCTATACTGAGTTGGCTTCTTGGGACTGGTGTAGAGAATATAGCTTTGAAATACAGAATTAAAGGAGCCTCTCAACCAATAATAAGTTTGATGAACTCCTGACACTGCAACTTTTCCTTTATGTTGGGAAAGATGAATTAATACTCCAGTATATTATTCTCTTTTTAAAAAAGATTTATTTATTTATGCATACAGAACTGGGATATGGGCCAGAAGTGCAGGAGTGGTGAGAAGATTCACCAGAGACAGAGTGCAAAGCAGAACAGGCAGATTCACAAAGTACACGCTGAGGGGAGCAGCGGGCCAGACAGGAGAGGCCAGCCACGCCACGTGGGTCACCTCCCTGGTCAGGGATCAAACTCCTTCTTCAGTGGCTGGGGATAGCTTTGTAGGCTGGGGCTATCCTGGTAGTGTCGCACTTTAACCCACTGCGCCACCAGGGAGAGCCCTCCAGTATATTCTTCTTACAGAAGAATCTGCACTGCGAAGATGGGTTATAGGTAAGGCTCAAGGAGGCAAAACGCTACATTTGCAAATTCCCCTGTAAGTAATCCTAAACCAAGAACTCAGGCCCTGGTGCTCTAAATGAGTTAGGTTGTTAAAAGGTGCTCAGTACCAGGCAAATGTTTGCTTCAAAGCATTAACAAGACCAGGTCATATCCTCCCTACCACACCCCCTCTGAGGTAGATGCTTTCCCACACCCTATCCCCTCAAAAAGCTTGAATCTTGACTAAATCAATTACCTGGATAACAAAGAATCCATCCAGAGGGTTAAAACCTGTGCCAATTAATATCTGAGTACTGCTTAAGAAATGAAGGAAGGGATTAGTAAAAAATAAAAAAAAAACTGAACCACCTGGAGTCAGGTCAATGAAAGGAATCTGAATAAGACCTGCTCAGAATGAAAATCATTCCTAATTTTGGCAAATGCAAATAAATGCAATTTTGACTCAGAGTGGACATAGTGATAAGAAAGATGAAAGTTAATACCTATTATCTTACCACAGATTCAAATAAGTTTCTTCATAGATCTATCAATTAGGATTAGGTTTGGCTGCAGATAACAGAAAACCCAAACAACTGAGGCTCAAAATAGAAAGAGGCTTATTACTTTTAATCTCATGTAATACGGGGGATGAAACAGAGGACTCAGAGTTAGCACGGTCCTCTATGTCACCTGGCACCCAGGTGGTGCTATTTCCTTTCCCGTCCACCCGGAGACAGAAGTTGCTGGGGTCTGGAAAACCCCTGTTACAAATGTCTTTGATCCATTGTTTCTATTAATAACCTTTTTTTGCAACATATGTGTCTCTGAGCCATCTTTACAGTTTATATGGCCCCCTTATGGTTAGAAGGAGGAGGGTACAGGACCCCCAGCCCAAAACAGTTAGAGCTGAATTATGAAGCATGGGTAGAGTGACCCACATTAGCCAAGAACTCACTATAATATTAAATCCCTGCCTCTCAGTGGGATTTGGCCTCCATTTTCTGAACATGCAGAGTATGATGAGACACGACCACAACTGTGAAGGCACCGAGAAAACACTGCCCCAACAACAGGGAGGAAACCACCCAGCTGTGACACTGCTTCTTGCCAAAAGGCTCTGAACTCCATACAGTAACAGGCTAAGACTTTGATCAGGGAATGTCTTCTTGGAGAAGGGGACTCCCTGGTGCTGTCTCTTGCTCTATCATAAAAAAATCATACTCAGTCACTTGAGTCCTCACTGCATTCTTGAGTGAGGTTCTCAAGGATTCACCAATAGAGAGCCTCATCAGGGTCTGCATCCTAACCAGGATGGTCACCGTTATAAGCTTTGCAGGAGACCCACAAAGATCTCTCTAGATAGCTCCCTGGGTACCCCAACTTGCAAATACCACTGATAATGTACTCTTCCTAGACGCAGCCTTACAGCCTTCATTCACCCACCCTTCTTACCACCTGTATTGTTAGTCAGCTCAGAGTGTCACAGCAGAGACCATATACTGGGGGGCTTAAACAACAGAAATTCATTTCTCATAGTCCTGGAGACTGGAAGTCTCAGATCAAGGTGTCAGCAAGGTAAAGGTAGGTTTCTGCTGAAGCCTCTGACCTTGGCTGGCAAATGGACATCTCTCTATATCTTTACATAACCTGCTTGCATGCATTCCTCAAAGATCACCATTCCTATTGGATTAAGATTCTACTCTTATGACCTCGTTAAACCTTAATTATCTCCTACACTAAGGCTTTATCTTTAAATACAGTCACATTAAACAATGAGGCTTTGATATGTGAATTTGAGGGTAGACAATTCAGTCCACAACCCTCTGAATGAGCCAAGAGTTTTGTTTGTCAGAAAAAGAAGGAATTATGTGGTATAGGGGAAGGAGACAGCATTCTGCTACAACATAATCGGTGTATTAAAGCTGGAAGGAACAACAAAGTTCTAGTGTTTTATCTAGTCTATGCCTCCCATTTTATATTAGAAAACTGAGGTTCAAAGCCACTAAAAGTCACACAGTGACTGACCTGAGACGTGAATAAATTTTGATTCTAGAACTGGTGCCAGACTTCAAAATTGAAATTACAGTGAATTATGTACATATAACCATATGGGCTTTAAATAAATTGAATGTAGTGAATTTTTTCTAAAAACATAAATGAATATGCTATAGTTTGTGGGAAAACTGACTACATGCAGTCAGACCAATCTTACAAGAGAATATTTAAGGTAATTTTAAACTATCAGAATTTTAAACTATCATTTCTGTTCACCAATCTTACAAGAGAATATTTAGGGTAATTTTAAACTATCAGCACTGTTCACGTGCCTCAAAGCTCCTATCATATTTTTATCTTTCAGCACCATTTCAAGAACTTTCATTCCAAAAACATAAAGAGTGGCACCACATCCTTTAACATTTTGGTCCCCCACCCCAGGCCCCAAAGCTGCGCTCAATAAAATAAACTCATGGTTTACCTCAGTACTTCAAGAATACAGCTTCCTCTCTGCACCAACCCATGAAAGTCAGTTCACAAAGCCAAATGTCTCACAGGGACCTTTTAATAGGTTTTATGTCTTATTTATTGTGCTTATCTGACAACTTCACAATCTAATAGATCTCTCTAAAGATGTAATGACATTTTAGTTCATTCTGAACGTCCTTTAAGTTATTACCAAGTTTGGACAGTGCTGCTATTCCCTTAAGTGCAATAAAAAAATAGATACATGCATGTATTTCAGCCATTACATTGAATATATTATATACAAATATTACACCCCTTGTTCAGCATTATAAAATACAATGGTATAAATAGAATGCCAATTTCAGCTACCACCCACCCCATTTGGTTACTAGCAAAACCTCCAGGCAGCAAGCCAACTGATGCAGCCAGGAGCTACCTAGTCAATTTCTGCTCCTGGTAGAGTCCCCGGTTCCCATACTGCCCCCCAGCAATGCCCTCTTTCTTTCACTAAAGCAGATAACCGCCAAGTCCAGTTGCTTTTCACTATCAATTATAGCCTTCTCGGTCCAAGATGCCCGAACACTTAATTACATTGTTGCTTACTTAATCATGCGTGTGAACAATTAATTACCAATTAATCTCACTCGATTTTCCCACACTTACTGAGCACCTATAGAAATATCAGAGGCACCGAAATAAGGTCCGTATAAGGGGAACTTAAATTTGAAAAATAAAAAAAGGGGGGGGGGGCGTAAAGGTTCCAGTCGCTAATAAAACAGCAATGTGAAAATGTCGCTGTCTTTTCCTAAATTGCACCATTCTGCCATTTCTAAAAATCTGAAATTGCGGGCTCTTAAACTGGAAATAAAAGCCTGGGTTAGAAAATAATAACCCTAAGAACACTGAAAAGGCAATAATTGTTCGCCGTGGCTTCCAAACTTGAATAAATCTTATTATGAAAGTCGATCATACTAAAAAAAAAAAAAAACTTTTAGCACATCTTTTTGTTAGAAAGGGAAGAAATTGCTCTTGCGAGGGGAAATGAAAGGAAAAGGGGGAAGTATTATGGCGCTAGATACAACAATCACCGTTCACAGAAGTGTTCTCTAATTTTCCTCCACAAAGCCCCAAGATCTGGAAAAGGTCCTCCCTCCTCCGGCTCCCCATACCACGACCGCGCACCCTGAAAGCCCAGGCGGATACCCCCGTTTGATTCCGCAAAGAGGGTCGTGCCAACTTGGGTCAGAGACTAGTCAGTCCTCAGAGACTAGTCCGTAAGACCCCGCGGGGAGCCCCCAAAGGCGGGCGCCGTGTCTCGAACCCCAGGCAGAGCGACGAAGGACCAGGCGGGGCGGGCGGCGGG